AAATGACAAGCCAAAAGTACGAAAGAAAACTCTCTTTATCATAGCAGCCTACAACTAGCTTATTTATAATAGCTAAGTCCTACTTTCATGCCACTACTAACAACCAGCTAAAGACTAGGACTATAGGATAAAAGCAAATAAAATAAAAATAAAGACTTATTCAACTAACCTACTTTAAGAAAAAAATCTGGATTACAAAATCAACAAGATTTTAGTTCATCAAAACGTATTGAATGCAACAATTTACCGGGTAAGCGCTTACCTGGGTAAGAGTCGTAATCTTCACTTATCGGGTAAGAGTCTCCATACTTCTCATCGTTCTTACCGGGTAAGATTCTTGGCCCTTGTGATATTCATCCAATAAGGAAATCTATTCGATAAGCACTTACCAAGTAAGCGTTTAGTAATCGGCCCCTAAGTCTCTAATAAAACCTTCAAATTATTCTCCATAATGGAGATCGGAGCAGAGAGAATGAAAAATTCCTCATATTTGGAAAAATCTACAAAAACCTAAAAAGACACTCACAAATTACTATTTTATAAAAAAATGTTTCAGCATTAGATATATCGATCAGTTAATAATATAAATAATATTATAGTATTCATTATGAATATCTTCTTAGAGGTAAAAAGTAACTATATTCCAAGTATGATTTTTGCATCTTTATTTTGGAAAAGTTATAAAGAAAATATTCAAAACACTCTAATCAAACTTCGGAAGTTGAAAGTAAATACATGTTACTCTGCTTTGAAAACAATCCACATCATCATGGTATGTAGTGTGTCAGTTATTTCCAAAAATAACAAAACAATGGTGTTCTATATACAAGTACAACCCACAGAGTAGTTGAGTAGTTGTGAAGATTAATGTCATCTCCAACGGTTTCTCCAAAATGAAAATTTTAGGGATTTTTGCTCCGACAGCATCTCCAAAAATGGAGAAAATACGTGCTATTAAGTGAGAGATGATTAAAGAACTCTCCAAAACCGATTGTTTAGGAAAGAGATAATATTTAGTCTCTAAAATGGAAAAACATTAAATTTCTTTTTAAACTTTTATTTTTAATCCTCTATTATAAAAAAGTTGTTAGAGATACTCTTAATACAGTTAAAATTGTTGTTGCAGGTTTCTGGCGATGTCAATTTGGCGAAGGTATTATTATTATTTATTATTCATTTGATGTCTTTCTTTCATGTAATTACATTGGCGATTGCTTTTCGTTGGGCTCATGTTTGTATTTGTTCTTATTTTTCCTCAGACTCACCGTCCTCATGATATGCGATCTGAGGTAAGCGAACTAACATTCTATTCATTCATTCATTTATTTATTTATTTATTTTATTTTATTTTATTTTATTAAAAGGTAGCAAATATATTAAAAGAATAAAACAAAACCAAAAGATTTAAGGACAGAAGTTTCTACAAGAAACAGAACAAACAAACCTACAAAAATCAGAGAAATACACGGTCTAAACAAAATTAACGTCCAAGGTCAAGAAACAAGAGATTCTCTATTATTTATCTAAAATAGGGAAGGAAGTATACTCTAGAGCATCTTTAATAGATGTTCTGTAGTTTCTTTAAAATAAAGAATTAAAAGTTAACATCTTCAAATAAAATTTCACTCAACTCTAACATATCCTTTATTTTGAAAATTTCAATATTAATTATGTTATTAGAAACATTCAATAAATTTCTCATATCTGTACATTTTGAATTTAATACATTCAGTTTCATTAGTGGAGAAAAAGTAAAAAAATAATTATCTATAACTTGTTTTCTTTATTTTCAAGAACAATATAGAGAATTTGTTTAAGCAAAATTATAGAAAACAAGATCTCTATTTTCTTTACTTTAGAGAATCTGTTGAAGATGGTCTTAGATGTCGTCAATCGAATAGTTTTTTGTGGAAGTTTAGCTGCTTTAGCCAGGTTGCCTCTTTTGGTGGCTTTACATGTTAGGTATTAGTCGGTTTATATTTCTCAAACTTCTCCAATAGGTAACACCAAATCCACAAAATCTGGTATAAAATTTTATGTAAATAATAAATTTACTCCAACGTCTAACACCAAATCTTACATCAAAGCGTAAGATTTTAAAAATATTCATTTTTAGCTATTCCAATTAGTGTAAAATTCCTTGTAAATGAATACTATTACACCAAATTTGATGTGTTACTGTCCATTAAACCAAATTTGGTATAAAACCTAGTCCTAAGCTTGATTTTTTTTTTAGTCCACTTTTTTTGAAAGACAGAAAATTTAAAATATATGATTTTTTATATACGACAAAAACTCATACACACTTCTCATTTTGGTAAGATTTGACCGAAGATTACCCGTACCACTGTATCAACGACCTTTTGGCGTCAAACCATGCATCTTATAAACCCCATATTCGTCAATTAAACATAGCACCCTGCTTGTATATGCAGCCCTGGGTGTGAATCGTGTGATCGAGTTTGGCTACTAAAACTTTGAAATGTGTTGGTTATGGATGCAGATAAGGAGGCAATCAACGGCAGAGCTTGAAATATTCAAGCAGCGATGGGAAAGGGCAGTTGAGGAGGACACAAACTGGGTCGATCCGTTTAACAAAAGAAAAGAAAGACAAGCTTCCCCAACTTTCGACTCGTGAATCTTTGGGGCTGATTTAGGTAAAAATTGTGTATTACATACAAGTTGTGTGGTCTTCTTAATACGTCTTAAAAGACCCATTTGATATTTTGACCTCCTCCTTTCTTGGTTTTGCTCGAGAATTATTGGCCTAGTGGTATTCGAGATATCAATAGAGTCATAGCCTTCTTAGAGGTTTATGGGTTCAAGCCTCACCAAAAAGTCATTGGCCTAGTGGTTCCCTATTGGTATAGCCTCCTTGAAGATCAAAGGTGTGAGGAGTGTATACGAGTATTTGTCATATATAAGTATTAGTTAATTTGATACTAATATCGATTATTTTTCAAAATTTTATAATATCTTCAAATTTATATTTCATTAAAAAATAAAAACATCTTATTTTTCTCAAAACCACATAAAATCGCATTATAACATCATAGACCCAAAATATAAAACGAAACATTAAAATCAAAATGTATCTCGCTACACTGTACGAGTATCCTTCTAGTTCTTCATAATGATAACAAACGATGATTGACAATAGGTAATTCTAGTTTTAAATGGTTGTCAAGATATTGCAATTTTCACAAAACATCTTAAAAAAATTGAAAATTTCATGATAACAAGTACGCACGCAAAAATTATAGGTGATTATATGCTTTAATAACTACAAATCTACAACAATAGCAAAAAGGGATCTTTACATAAACAATAATACGCGATTAGGGATCGGTTCAAATGAGAAGGCTAAATATTATGAGAATGTAAGTAGTAAAAGTTCATATATGGATCCACTAAAAAAATCAGAAAAATCTATCTCAAAATACATATATGAACCGATGTTATAAATCATTCATATAGATTTACATATCTATCTTCAAATGGATTTTTTTAATAATTCACATATAAACCTTCTCTTCTTACCTTCTTAAAATATTTCAAAAATACCTTTCTCACTAGTATTACCTTATCTTTTCTACATGTGTTTTCTCTCATCTTAAGTTACCTTTTTCAATGATCTCAATATATCTACTTTGTTACTTTTTTACTCCTTTTGTTAGTCAGTGTTACTTTTGTCTTTTTGGTATATACAAAAACAATCTCTCTACTTTTTGAAATAGAAGACACGTTTGTGTACAACTATACATCCCATCACAGATGTTGAGACTTTGGATTCAGATATATCATATCTTGTAATTTTTTCGAAACTTTTTGTTACCCGTTTTGTGCTTTTTAACGACCAAAAAGTTGGATCTCTTATAATGATAACTAACCAAATTTTATCCATTTTTGTCGATCACTTTTCACGATTTTCTTCAGAAATTTCCTTCAATTATTCCATCCCTCACTCCACAATTCGATTGGGATATATCAGGTCGGTATAAATTGATAATAAAATAACATAGAAAATATTGATCACAACTTCACAAGAATTAGAAAAGCTCTATGTCAAACTAGAGTTGCATAAAGCGGGCGTTTTTTCAGGCTTGGGCACGGGTCCTGAAAACCCGTTTTCAGCGAGCAAGAAAAAAGGTCCAGAAATCTTTAGGCCCGGACCAAACTTTGGGGATGAAAAAGAGGTCGATCAGGCTTTTTCCAGGTTGAGCTATTTCACGCCAGGCCTAATCTCAAAATTTTGGCCTGGTCGGTTTGAAAAAGGGCTCGATCGAGCTTTCAGACCAAACTTTTTTTAACTCAACCAGGATTTTTGGGCCAGAACTGGGCCGAGTTCGGGCATGGGCTTTTTTGGGCATATCTATGTGAAAGTTTCAGGCATGGCGGGCCTATAACCGATCCCGGGCCAGGCCAGACCTTGTTTTTGGATGAAAACCATAACCGCCGGTCCCAAACCGGTCCTAAGTCGGTCCCGATCCTCCGCCGGTCCCGGGCCGGGCCCATTTGGTCATATGTTAAACTAGCCAAGAAAACCAGCAATATCAGAAGTTGCTAACCTATATGAACTACAAAAACTTCAACAAAGCAGCAAACTTCATATAAACAACACAAGAGTAGAAACATTGTAAACTCGGAAATTTGTCAAAAATTTAGGTAAAAGTACGAAACGAAAAGATCGGTATTATTATCGTTAGCTTAACTAATAACGACCGATCAACAAAAAATCGTCGTCCTCAAGAACTTGAACATCTTTCTCTCCTACAAATTTCTCCCGCCCAATTTCGTTCACTATATTCACGAACTCCATCCTTTTGGCCAAAGGGAGGGGTACGTATGGCAACCGAAAGATGGGTCTTATTACCCCTAATTGAGCTAAAGCGGTGTTAACCCCGATCGGGTTTGGCTCGCAAAAAAGCCATTTTATCAAAGGTAAAAGCTTTTTATTAAGGGAAGGATTCTTACCTTTCGAAAGGAGTTCTCGCATTAATCCAGGAACCAAGTTGCTAGTGACAGATATGACTCCGGTGGCTCCGTGGTCCCACCGTGAATCGTGGCACTCGTCGTCGTTCCCGCTCCAGACGGTGATTCCAGTTTCGGTGTATGTTTTTACTCGGTCATGGCCCACGCACTCCTTCACGCCGGCGAAGTTGGTGCTGGCGGCGATGGAGTGGATAACGGGCTGTGGGATGTCTTGGCCGGTTCGGGATGGTACGTTATAGATGATTGTGGGACCCATTGGGAGGACGCATTGGAAGTGTGCGACCATGCCCTCTAGTGAGGTTTTACCATAGTATGGGTTGATGTGGAGGGCGGCGTGCATTCCGACGGCAAATCCTTGTTCAGTTGCATGGACTGCTTCTCGAGTTGAGTTGCTTCCGGTGTTTCCGATGACCTGAGATAAATGTGACGGACTGATGGTGAGATTTTCATGCTACCCTCTGGTCTAGGGGTCGGATGGACGTCGTCGTTTCAGCAGACCCTCCACCCCACTATTAGGGTGCGTCCATTATACTATACAGAACATAACAAAAACGTTTGGCAAGACTTTTATGTGGAACAAACATGAACATAGTAGAACAAAGTAACAGGCGTGTTCCATCCCTACCCCATTGAACAAGGTAAAACAAGCCTATATTTTACCAATCTAACCTCAAAATAAAACCTAACTTTCTTCTAAAACATTAAATTCGCCTCCCTCTTTACATTTTATTCTTATTTATTTATTGTATTTTATGTTTTTTAAGCTTTCATTTTACTGTTCTCAAAATATTATTTTATACGGCTTTTATACTTTGATTAAGTTATGTAATTTTATTAATTATTAACAATATAAAAATAATATAAAAAAGGTATAAAATACAAATTGGAAACTACAGAAACATTATATTTTGGAGTCATTTTAATCGTCTTGACGAAAACTTTCTAATGATATAATTTGTTCTAAAAATATTTATTTTATTATAATTTAATAAATTAATTAAAATATATAAGCAACTCATTAGGGATAAATTAATCATTTTATTTGTCCTGTCATGTCCTGTTCTGAATTACCAAATGCTAAACAACTATTATTTCCTGCCACGTACCTTTACAAAACTGTAATTTACTTTTTTTTTTTTTTTTGATTAACCTGGGTTGGGATATCCAGGTTAATAAAAAAAAAAGAAATTACAGTTTCAATCTCTATGGATTGATGTAAATCACGGTTTTGGTCCCTAAATTTCATTTACTACATAAGAGGGCATCTGGTTTGCACTTTGTCATGGTTTTGGTCCCCGGACCAAATGACCATTAGAATGGAGGGAAACGGCACAAAACCCACTAAAATGAAGAAAGAAGATCGAAATGTGCAGCTAGTTAACGGAGTCGGAGACAATGCATGGATGTTTGGTCCAGGGACCAAAATCGTGAGAAAATGCAAACCACATCCCCTTTTTATGTAATAAATGAAGTTTAGGGACCAAAAGCTTAAGTTACTCAAACAAATATTAACAGAAACAGGCAAGAACAGGCTACAAGTGAGAGAGTGTGTGTAAAAGAAACAGAGAAGGTAAGATACTACTCCCTCCGTCTCAAAATAACCGTCAACGTTACTATTTTAGTTTGTGTGTCCACTTTTAAAAGTAAGTTTCTACTTTCTCATTCTATCCTTAATTATGAAAAGGAAAAAGTGTCTCTCTCTCTCTATTATCTAAGGGTAAAAGTGTCATTTTGTTATTTAAAAAGTGTAATAATTACACATTCCTAAAACTATGTACCAATTTCATTGTTGACATTTATTTTGAAACGGAGAGAATAGTAATAGACAGTAGTGTTCGGGTGACCTTAATCGTGGAGCCAAAGCAGTTGATGGTGTGGCCAATAAGCATGATGTGTTCATCCCAACTCATCAATTGGCCTTCACCAGTTGTCCCGCCAACAATCACACCCTCGGCTCCATCTTCGATTTGCATATTTACCAAGGCATCGTAAGCCTCCAGATCAAACCTCCCATCAGGTAAGTAGGGTGTTTTAATGGCGGTTATTAATCGGAGTGACTTGATATCGTCTACAGAAGTCCTGATAACACAAGGGAATGAGTAACATTTTACAAGTAAAAGCAGAGAAATGATGGGAATGTATGTATTTTTTCCCTTAAATGGTGCATTTATGCTATGCACCATGTGACTATGTGAGAAGACCTATTTCTCATTTTATTGAATCAAAAGGTATGTACAAGCCCTATTTTTATATTGTAAACCTACAACTAATTGTGAATCAATTGAAAAGAAAAGATTACCATATTATCAGAAAGAAGTGCAAAGGAACGTAACGGAAGTAAGAAGGCAACACATCCTTGGTCTATCTTAGGACTCCGATAGCCTATCTCTCGACTCACTACCCTACCCCTATTATCTACCTCTCGAGCTCCCTTCCACCCCTTTAGACCAGCTACACGTCTCTACCCCTAGTCTGCTACCCTAATATTACAGAACTTATGTCAGAGGCCATGTCCTCGAAAATACTTCAAGTATCCATGTCTATCCTTGGAGCATCTCCAACAGATTCTCCAAAATTTCTCCAAAATGGAGAATGGAACTTCAAAATCTCTAAAACAAAAATACATTCAACTCCAGCAGATTCTCCATTTGGGAAAGACAACACTCATTATATTATTAAAACATTCCATTCGTCTAATAAAATATTATCTCTCTCTAAATATTTAATTTCAAAGTTTTCCTATTGGTGGGAATATATCAAAAAATATTTCTCTAATTGCAATCGTTTTTGGGGTGTTCTACAAATTTGGAGATTTTTACACTCTCTCTCTTACTTTCTCCATTTTCGAGAAAGGTTTTGGGGATTTTGTTGGGGCAAAAAACATGCCAAAAATCCCTAAAATCTCTATTTTCTCCATTTTGGAGAATCTGTTGAAGATGCTCTTACTTTCTTATCCCCCATCCACCTCGACCTACACCTACCCCTCCTTGCCTCATGACCGTCATGCTTTCTACCCTACTCACTGTAGCTGCTAATTGTCTCCAGCAACCAAACCACCACTCTCATCTATCTATCAACTTATCCATAATAGGTGCAACTCCCAACTCCACTCTGAAGACGTCGTTGGGTATCCCGTCAAACATGGTCTAACCGCAGGTCCATCCAAGCATCCTTATTTATGCGGCTTCCAACTTCCTATCATAAGCTTGACTTGCCACCCAAGGCTCCGACCCGTACAACATATTCAAGGGTAAAAGGTTTGAGGTTATATTGAAGAAAATGTTAAAACACAAGTCACATACATTCAAAATGTCAAATATGCACACTTTATTTGATAATGTGATATAAAAGGGTCAAAACTGAGATCATTCATGAGTATATGTTTGTCTATCAGAGCAAGAACCCATTTTTGGTTAAAATTACAATAATTACATGATTACATCCAAACATATACTAAAAGAATTTAAGGACGAACAGATTGATTTAGTCACACATGATTAGTTCTCTATATCTATACATCTTATAGCATGGTTAATGGGACTCAGCTTATTCGTCAGTTATACATGACTGTTTTGATAGTGGCTTAATGATATAGAAAGTGGCTTCTTCAGTAAGCTTCTAGGAGTGAGTTCTATGCAGAAGGCCAAGTTTTTCTCCAAACATCCCCCCCCCCCAATTAAAAAACACACTCCCTCCATCTATGAAAAAACTCTTCCAAACAAAAACTTTCTCAATCTATACAGATAGATTAATCCACACAAAAACTTTATCCAAAAGGACCTAATGGAAAACCAACCAACAGTCCCTTAGAGTCTGATCCTTGTGTCTGTATATGCCTGAAATAAGGACAGATTCGAGGGATACCTGTTCTTAACTTCAAAACTGCGCATTGGTAGGTGAAAATTGGGAATTATAGCTGCAGATGGCGTCGTCCATCTTGCACTCCTTAACAACATTGAACAAAAAAATACATCATTTAGTAGCCAAAAAGATCTTGTATTAGTATAGAAATAGAAGGCACAAATTTTGACATGAGAAAGCAGATCATGCCTCTATTAATACAAATACTCAATACATTTGATACCCCAATAAACTTTCGAATAAATTGTATATAAAATAATAGTACATTCAACTGGAAACAATTAAAAGTGCATACATTTCTCGCTCTTAACGATCAGTGTTATCCTAATTTGAAGATTTATAAACTATCTTCCCTAACTTCTCCATTTGGGGAAACTTTTAGCGAATCAGTTTGGAGCATATAAAACGACAAAAACTTCAAAATCTCCATTTTAGAAATCCTGGTGGAAGAGCATCTCTATCAGATTCTCCAAAAAGAATTCCAAAATGGAGAACCAATACTCAAAATCTCCAAAAAAAAAATTATATTCAACTCAAAAAATTCTCTATTTTGAAGATTACAACATTAATTATATTATTAAAATATTTTATACATGAAATAAAATATTATTCTGTTTCACAAACACTTAACATCAAGGTTTCTTATTGGTGGGAATATAATAAAAAATTTGTTTCTCTCATGGTAATCATTCTGGAGGAGTTCTTCAAATTTGGAGAATTTCACTCTTTCGTTCTTTGGAGAAAGTTTTGGAGTATTTGTTGGAGCAAAATTTTAATTTTGCTCCATTTCGGAGAATCTATTGAAGATGGTCTAAAGAATCCTAGGTTCAATTTAAGGTACAGATTAACAGCTTTCTTGTAAGCCTTAGGTACTGAGTTCTTCCCTAAAGGCCAAAACTGTTTTAACATTTTGCAACCATATAAAATCCCCTACTTCAAAATTATACAGGCCAAAACTGTTTTAACATTTCGCCTTTAATTCCTAGTGTTTCACTCACCTCGCCGGTGAACTCCACCACCACCATCGCCAACACGACAACTATTACAACCATATAAAATCCCCTACTATTACAATACATTACGGCCCTCATTAGTCATTATCATTACACCAATGGCACTTCGACGACAATAAAGGATTCAAAGTTTAAATTACAATACATTTCTGTCCAGATCATCTCCATTTGTTTTTCTGGAAAGATGCCAGTGGCATATCAGCAAATTTCTGCTTTTAAGAGCTACAGTTCATGGGGCAAGGACTCTACTCTATGGTTATAAAAACCATATCAAAACATTAGAAGTTAAGTAAGATTGTATCCATTGTTTTCCCTAATTAACTTCCGATTGACTGATCTCAACAGATTATAAATAACTACCGATTTGTAGAATCTTACAGTCAGTATAGAAGTTAACAATAGCCAATTAACGAATTAACATCCATTTCTGGAATCTCGTAGCCAGTACAGATGGCAAAAAAATCTAAAATTAGCAACAGATGAACGAATTAGGATTTCGAATCAGTACCTATTGTGTGTATTTGCAGGATTGGAGCGTACAAATTGGAAAGCAGAGTCCTTCTCCCACGAACTATAGCTCTTAAAAGCAGAAATTTGCTGATATGCCACCGACATCTTTCCAAGAAAAAACAAAAGGAGATTGTCTGAAACAGGAAATGGATTGTACGTGGATTGTAGTTTAAAACTTTGAAGCCTTTATTGTCGTCGAATTGCAATCGGTGTAATGATAATGAGGGCAGTGATAGTTGTCGTGTCGGCGGTGGTGGTGGTATAGCTGCGGAGGATTTCACCGGTGAGGTGGTGGAGCACGGCGGCGCTTTACAGTGGTTGAAACCCTAGGAATTAAAGGCGAAAAAGCTTACACTCTGTGTACAACAATCTATATATATCTATAAAGCAAAATCATGATAGGTTGACGTGGCATCTCCTCGATGCAAAGATCCAATTTTTCTCTTTTTTCCACATTTTGATTTTTTTCTTAATAATTTTGCAAATTAATGTTTACATTTAACTCAAAAACTCTTTCCTTTCTCTTGTAYGTTTCACCTTTAATATTTAAATCCAATTAATTTTCACATTTAACTCAAAAACTCTTCTATTTCTCTTGGAACGTTTCAACTTTAATATTTAAACCCTTCAATCTTTGGTTTTTTTCCATTTATGTGTTCTCCATCTCCATGTACGAGCTTTAAATTACTGGTACGCTCTCCCCTCTTCTTTTCCATCTTTCATCTATGGCAGAAGAGTATACACGAGTTTATCATTATATGTAAGAAGACATTGGAACTTGGATTAAGAAGAAGTCTCCATTGAGGCTTTAGAATTTTGTGAGAATTTTGATTGTTTTTGTTTTTGTTGTAGATTCACTTTTGTTTTTATGTTTTTTATAGTTTTTTAATTTGTAATTTTGTAAGAAAAAACACCAACAATAAAATGACATTTTTAGGCATC